ATATATATAATTCGTTATTTTTCACTGAAATGGTTAAAAAACATAAATCTAAACATAAAACAATACAATTAGAGTAACGTACAAATTTCATTATTATCTTAGTATTCATTTTATGTAATATGTTTGAACAACTAAAAAATGATCTGGATAATGGATATTCTCAGTTTTATAAATTTCTTAAAAACCGTTTGCGTAGTAATCTGATATTAGAATATTTGCTTAAATTCAATTACATACATTAGAACAAAATATGTACAAACTGGGACAAGTAATCGTGATATAAGAACAGAAGAGCGAGCCCTTTTGTTATTTCTGTAAGTTAAGATAGCTGAAATTATCTTGTTAATTTAAAAACTTCAGTAAAACAGAAGCTGGAATTTGTTCTTAGGACTTTACACTACAGTGTTATATTTTGGCAATATTTAATTTAAGTTAAAATTACATTAGCTTACATTACGTAAAGGAAGTTTATTTGGTTTAATTTCTTTAAACACATATTTGATAATATTCCTTTTGTTGCTTTAATTTAGACAACCAATATTTCTTGTTAACAAACCTAGCGAAAACAGTGCGCAAAAAAAATAAAGGCTCTTCTTACCTGTTCTTCTATAACGTACATTCTGGGATTTAATTATAAATATATTAAATTGTTTTAAACAGTTGCTGGACGAAGTCCATCACTGCCTATTAAACGCCAGGTTTCTCTAATAAACCGCTAATCTCAGAAATGTATTCTATACCTGCTGCACATTGAAAATAATTAACACCCTATTGTCAGCCCACTCTTAAATTGTTTTTTCAAAGTACTTTTAGTTAACTAGCGTAATTCAAATTATGGAAATTATTTTAAATCCTTCATAAACTCATGTTGCCATTCCATTTGAAGTATAATCAAAGGCACCGTCATTTGTATTATGTTTTATTAGACACTCGACAAATTACCGAGAATCTTCTTAATACAGATGTTAATAACAACCTATTGGCATAATCAAAATGAAAATGAAATGTTTCTCTGTATAAGCAAAGCTCTATTGATCGTTTTTTTATATATAGGATATAATTGCATGGTAAATTTGATCTTCCTAGGTTACTCAATATGTATGTATGTCAATATTTAACCACTAGTTTTTATCCAATATTCTCGTTACGTAAAAAAATACAGGTATATAAGAAATTTCAAATCTCACGCTTTCATGTACACAACATATGCTTCATCAGCAGTAAATATGAGCTTTTAAAACAGTTGCAACGTGAAAATATTGATAAAGTCATTTATTAGTTACATTGTAAGTGATATTTATAAAACACTGTTTTCATAATTATTAGGTTAGAGATCGTTAAGCGTCAAATCACAACATACACTCTCAATACGACAAAATTACAGCATCTAACAAGAATAGAAGTGTGAGATACACATACATATTGAACATTTTGTAACATATGTATTATGAATTGTTATGAAATGCGCAAGTTTCATTCTACTCAGAATAATCGTGATTCTGGTTACAACAGGAAGAAAATCCTTAACATCTGCATGAAAGATCTTAGTGAGACATCCCAATCTTCTTCAGAATTCTTCAAAGAATTGACCAAACTTCTTTAAGATGGAATACAACATCTATTTATTCTTTATCTTATGTATTAATATTAAACATTTAGTTACTTTAGAACGAATCACTTCAGGTGTATTTTATATGTTTCTCTTTATTGCCTTAGAAAGAAAATATTTTTACGAGTATAACCTATACAACAACAACTTTTCACTATACATAAATGTTACAGTAGTTAACACGTACAACAACAAAATTAACAGTTATTTATTGGATTAAGTGGATTTACAATCTTAATATCAGAGGAAATGTACGTTTCCAAAAAGGTATTCTTTCAGTTGTCAATTGTCATATTTGCCTGTATCAGAGGCGTCTTTCAAAATAAAGTTAGTAGAGATTTGAATTTTTTTTCTCTTGATGAAGGTAAAGGAAAGTAAATTTGATATCACATCTTTTGGAGTATAAAGCCTAAGATGCAGAAGTGATTTGATAAAGATAAAGATAAAATTATGATTAGTCTTACTGTGATGCAATGTCACACAAATCACTAATCAACAGATCATGCTTAATCAGCCTAGGAGTTACAAACTATACGACTTAATGCCTTACAAATAACTGTTATAAATAGCTTTTCGTGTGTGTGTGTGTGTTGTAAGCGCTACCGATCAGATTATTTTGTTTGGAAAGAATAACTTTTGTGTATGTACTAAATTTGGGGAAAATGTTAAATTATACGACTGTATTTTACAAAACATTAATAAGTGATGTTTTTATATAAGAATGTTACAGCTGTTAAGCTTAATTTTGTAAATAATATAAAGGCTTATGTTTGAATTAGAAAAAAATTGGTGTTTCAAAATTATCATTTGACAAAATGCCTTAATACACAGCAGAGGCAATATCTCGGCTTAAACACACGTGGTTATTAGTTTAATATTATATGTGAAATCATAATACTTTTGATTTTATTTCTTTTAATGTGCAGTTGGCATCTGTTTTTCAATATCTACAAGAACTTAAACCGAATTTTTTAACAAGCTCAACTTTCCACTTTCCTGTCACCTCAGTCAGCGACAAATGCAGCTTATTTTTAGTGATTTGTTACCTGGTAATTAAAAAAATAATTACTACTAATAAGAAAGTTAACTACTAACTCGAAAGAAACGATATTTCACAGCAGCATTTCATTACAAAAATTGTAACACTGATAGCAATTATGAACGAGTTCTTTTTGACACACTTTTCGGTTTTGAAATTTGAGCACATGGGTACAGAAATTAATGCAATAAAAACTTTAAATGTAGTTTTGGAGAACACCATTCTTCTTCCTTTTTATCTTTATCAGTTTCGAGGACTTGTTTATCAATTATAATTTTCAGCGTCGTTAGTTAATGGTGAAGGTTTGTTATCATTACATTTCGATATAATTCTTACTAAAATTTATAATCCTCTGGCACTTGTCAATTTTCTTTCACTTTTATTCGTGATTTTTTTACTACATTATTTCACTTGCTAATACACATGCACATGTCTGTATAATAGTTTTATTGGAAGTGAAAACAAAGTGTCTGCATTATCGTTTTATTGGAAGTGAAAACAAAGTGTCTGCATTATCGTTTTATTGAAAGTGGAAACACAGTGTCTGCATTATAGTTTTATTGGAAGTGAAAACAAATGTTCACAGAAATGTTACCCTTCAGCCCTCAGATTTTGGGGGTTGGAATTTCGCGCAAAGCTACAAGAGGGCGAGGACTATATGCGTTAGACGCCCCTACTTTAGCAGTGATAGGCTAGAGGCCATGTATTGGGCTTCTCTTTTAACAACGTATAATGGAATTGACCGAACACTATAACGACCCCACGGCTGAATGGTTGAGTATGTTCGGTGACGAGAATTCGAACTCGCGACCCACATATTGCGAGTCGAGCGCCCTAACCACCAGGCCACGCCATGCCCACCCTTAAAATATATATGACGAAGAACAAAGTTATGTATCTTTAAAATAAATATATATTTGAGCAAATGTGCTTACGTTTGAAATATAAAATGTGTCTTAAATTGTAAAAAGAAAATATTTACAAATTATATTTATTTTAAATCCAATCCAAAAACATTTGGAAAATATATAAAAAGCGATAGACATACACAACTATCAAAACTGTAAACTATAGAAACTAATCTTTTTACAAACTCTACGTTTACTATAAAGATGATATCGACTAGATAAGGAATTAACACGTAAAACTACAAAGCAACATTAAATTGTTTAATAATAACTGTAAATACTTTACATGCAGATGTTCATGTTCACTAACCTTTTCACTTAATCAAACACAAACTATGCTCACCCTCAAAACAAAATTACTAGAGGCTTTAATATTAATGATGAAGATTAAACAAATCCTGACAGATAAATTAGGTTTCTATTAGTTCTTGTTAAAAAAACTATTGTTTAAGCTCCAAGCAAAACTTAAAGTAGATTAAACAAGTTAAATTTCAAACAAGATTCTGAAACAAAAAAACACAACATTTGTCATTTTGTAGTTTGTTTGAGCGCAAAGCTACACGATGGGATATTTGCACTGCGTCCACCGCGGGGATTAAATCCTGATTTTCAACGTTATAAGCCTGAAGCTTATCCCTGAGCCACCAAAGGACATCTGTTAGAAGTCTCAAGACTTCTTGCTACATAAAATATCTCTAGAATACATGATAAACATTATTTACTTGGATAAAATGACAACAATTTGTATCATAAGTTTTACATCTCAGAAAATGGTGACCCACCCTCATCCACCCCGGTGGCTCAGAGGGCTTATAACGCTAAAAATCGGGTTTTGATATCCCTGGTTAGCTGAGCACAGATACCCTATTGTGTAGCAATGTACTTCATAACAAACAAACATACGTTATCATAAAATCAGTTTTATGACAATGCCAACTACAGCAACAGCAATAAAATTTCATTTTCTGTACATTTATGTATATATAGATATTGTGTTGTGCCATTTTGTGAAGATGAATTTTCCATAACATGTATTAGCTCTCTCTAAGCAAGCACAGACTTTAACAAAATGAAAAAAGCTTTTAGTAATATAAATATCGCCTTTTAAAAATTTTCCAGTCTAGACCTGAAAAAAAAAACCGCACACAGTTCACTTTTAACGATTACTGTTACATTCAAGATTTTAAGACTTTTCCAAATAATAAATAATTAAATAAAACATGGAGGGCGTTAAGTTTACAATTTTGGTTCCAATCCTAACTAGAATAAGAACTTGGTTGAATCCACTTAAACAGTTGTATATGACCTAAACAAGGTTTCTTTTCTAATTTTGTTAAAGTCGCTACTTTTGTTGCAGTATCTTATTTTTCATTTTGTGATTACATTATTCAATTTTTACTTTATTAATTGTAGTTTATATTATCATTTTTGAACATTTTAAAACTTTTTCAATGTGTATTAAACAAGCATATAAATAATTTTCTTAAGTTTAAAGCATTTCTAGATTTTAAGATGGATGATATTAATTTATATGTCTAACTATTTCAAAAGCATTTCATTTACTTATATACACTACGTTACCTCGGCAACTAAATATAAGTTAGAAAGTGTACAGTAGAGAAAGTACGTCAGACTTTTAATATATTTACGATCGTCACCGTCTTTAATTCCCTTCAATTTTTGGTATACTATACTTAAAAGTTTAAACATCAACTTCGTCCTTTGTATTTCCTCGGCTACAAGTTCCGTTTCTGAGCCGTTCTCCTGTAGCGGAAGTTATAATGCTCTGATCCCTGAGAGTGATTGTTTCACTTTCTTTGAGGTCCAGTTTTTCTCCTCTTCCGCAAGTAGTGAGCCGAGAGCTTTTCCGATTGTTTGAGAACCGATAAGTCATGGAGTAACGGGTGGAACCGCCCAAAGAACGAGAGGCTTTCCAACGCTGCAGATGCTGGCGGAGTGTGTTTCGAACCTGAATAAGCGAATCATCAGTTAGGAGTAAAACTCATTTAACCCTATTAAATGCGAGCTGTACATCCAATAACAGATATCCATGCTGCACACACAATAACAGATATCCATGCTGCACATACAATAACAGATATCCTAGATAAAATATTTTGAACTTCGTGATTTACATAAAAAACATATCAGTAGCAAAACAATATAGTGTTAGAAAAAGTGAGCTTGTATTCAATATGTTTGAAAGTAGATGTAACTCCTGAAGTCTTTCTTCTTCTGTAAGTTGCGAGTTACAAAATGAAATTTGAATGATGACCACGATATTAATAATTTTAGATGGGCTGCTTTTCAATCATCTAATTTTTAGTCGCAAAACGAATTACAATAAGAAAGACGAGGTGGAAGAAATTGTAATGAATGTTATCTTTTTCAACTGGCAAAAATATTTAACCCTTAATTAATCGCGAGGGGTCCATATGGAACCAAGTCAAATAATAACGATTCCCAAACTATTAAATCTGCAAATGCATTATTTTTCTCTGAAGAATTTACTTAAATATTGTTTTCTTCCAAATTTCAAATTTCTTGAACTGGCGTAGGGAACTAACGGGTGTATAAATATTAAAATAGTAATTACGGAAGAATCACTAAGAATTTTCAGTCACCGTTTAATATACAGAATTTTTATTTGTAAGCTTAAAAAAATGGTTCACAGGTGTCATTAACTGTGTACAAACTTCCATTGGGCAAGCTTGAAGGTGTTACGTATTTAGAAGCAACAAAAATCAAATAAAGCAGCGAAAACATGCTTTAAAATTATACGAATTTTCAAGTTAATTGTCTTAAATTGTACAAGTTTTAGCTTCCGATATATTTTAAATCATAGGTATAATTTATAAGCTGGTTGGCATAAATACGAGATATTTATATAACATATATTTATGAAACTGAATTATATGTCGTAAAATATTAATGTCATTTCAGCACAGTTCATTATTTGGCAATTTTGATACAGAAGCTCTTATGGCAGGTACATCCAACACAAAGTCGTTATCACAAAATTAGGATCTGCAAATGGTAAGTTTTCAGTAGCAATATTATAAACACAGAATACTACCTACCTCACCGTTCAGGAAGCAATACAATATAGAAACCGTCAGACCCTATTAATACCAAAAAACAAAATTTCAGTGAAAGTAAACTACATATCGGATAAAACATTTGCATTTATAACATGTGTGAAACTCCTCAATCAAATGTGAAAACGTAACAGTGTATGTACAGAGAGTGAAGTACCTTACATCAAAACGATTTTGAATATGCAAATAAGCAAGTCACGTGACAACAGCAGCCGATATAAATTTGTAGTGAAACGGAATGTATAATAACTACATTTTGCCATTCTTTAGTGATTCATATATCTATGATGCTATCAAAAATTGATCGCTTTTGAGTCAGGATATGTAACAATCCTTTCCGAGTCATACACTCACTTCATAAAGATGTGTTCAGACTCGAGATTTATCATTTCTAAGACTGGGGATATTTCTTGTACCACGTCTGATCACGCTTTATCTGATGACTGTGCATCTTGACAAGAACTTTGCAGCGTAGTCCCATTTCAAGGGCTCTGTCGTAAGGCTGTTATGTCTAAAACCCACTCCTCTTCCTGCTGCTTTCCACGATGCACAATTTCCTAGTTCATTTCATCAGATCTATCATATGAAAGCCCATAGCTGATGCATCCAAGACTTGACCAGTATGTTTTCTTATAGAATAGCATAAATATTCATTTCATTCTTCAACTTCTTGAGATACACGACGGTTGAACGGATATGTCGTGGAATAAACCTGAATGCCACTAACTGGTGTTGCTTTTCCAGAAGAAAACCATTCTTGAGTATGTTGAGTTCTGGAGCACGTAGACTGCTTTTGCCATTGAGCTTTGTGTTCATTGATTCTCAGCTGTTAAAGGATACTGTACTTTGCTTACCCTGAGTAGGATACGACTTGCTCCAGATCTCTTTCTTGATAGTTCTGATGCTACAGGTTGATCCATTTTCCTTTGTTTCCCAGTGCTATTAAATTCAATAGATATTCATGTATTGGAAATTCTTCGATTTGAAGAAGATCTTTAAGATCTAAGTGTAAGAATATATTGCGTCGGTAAACGCTGTTGCATGATTGTCCAAAAAGCGATCAGTTTTTGGTAGCATCACACTATCTACGCAACGACAAGCAACGTCAGAATGTAGTTCTGATATATTCCGTTCCACCAAAATTTTTATATTGGCTTTAGATGTTATGTAACTTGTTGAATTGCATATTAAAAATCAGGCCTGGCTCCAGCTCCTCTCCCTTAGGAGGGTGGAGCAGTGGAGCTTTAATGGGGGCCACCATATAGTGATATGAATTTACAGGAAAATATATATTCGTTTGTTTGTCACACTCAAATTTATTTTTCTTGGCGATTTTAAAAAGTTATATGATTTTTTTCAAGTTGATAATATGTTTTTAAAGTGCTAAGAAGAATGTATTTGGGTGGGCAAGAATGAAACTTGGGGGTGCACGGCCTACTCTAAGATCCCCTTAGAGCCAGCCCCGTTAGAATAATTTTAATATTATATGCTCAACCCTTTGCATATGCATATATTGTCTGTAACTGAATAAAAACTATAATCTAGGAATTTCTTTTATTCACCCTTTAGTTGGTAAGACAGAATTTGTTTTGCAATCTTTACATAACTTTCTAATACATGTAGTTATCATTAAGGCAATTAACTCATATCACTTGATTGCTATTATTCTAAGAATATTGCAAAAACTTAATATTCATTTGTAATAGTTACTAAAGATTTTAAACGAAAACGAAGGTGGTATCATTTCTAAGTCTGATAAAGGAAACGCTATTGTAATTTTGGATAAAAATGAATACTTAAAGAAGGTTGAAAACATTTTAAATGATTCAACTAAGCTTGTAAGTGTACATTATGGCTCCACTGAGAGTAGAGTGTGTAGCTCACAATGGTGCCTTTTAAATCCGCAGAAGGATAACATTCTATATTAAAAATAATACATATAATAAAAATAATACCCAAAATACATATTCAACTAAATTTGTAAGGGTACATCGTGATTTGAGAGTAGAGCGTCTAGATCACAATGGTGTCTTTTAAAACCGAAGAAGGATAACATTCTATATTAAAAATAATACATATGATAAAAATAATACCCAAAATACATATTTAACTAAATTTGTAAGGGTACATCGTGATTTGAGAGTAGAGCGTCTAGATCACAATGGTGTCTTTTAAAACCGAAGAAGGATAACATATAAATATTAGTTCATCAAGCAGTAATCTAGTAATTT